GAAAAGTGCTGAGCAAATAACTGGATAAATGAATGAATCTGACTATCGCGCTACATCTTTTTAGCAGTATATTGAAACAAAGCATGACTGTGTTTAAAATGTTTGTTTGGGACTTCCCTAGTGGTCCAGTGGTTGGGACTTTGCCTTCCAATGCAGGGGGCGAGGGTTCCATCTCTGGCCAGGGAGCTAAGACCCCACATGCCTTGCCAAAGCATAAAACATAGACACAAACCAAAAAATAAATAAATAAACATAAAACAGAGACAATATTGTAACAAATTCAACTTTTAAAAAGCCAAAACATAAAACAGAAGCAATATTGTAACAAATTCAATAAAGACTTTAAAAACAGTCCACATCCCCCCAAAAATTAGAAAAAAATGTTTGAAGGTAGTGAACCACAGATTATTTGGACATGGCCGTGACACATTTCTAAGTGAACTTAATTATAAGCAAGACGTTAAGAACTTTTAAGAACTGTCCTGAGTCTCTGCCCCCATCTCCACACAGTATAAAATGATACGCACTTACTTTAACAATTAGCCAAGAGGAAGCATACTGCTGAGCAAAGAGCATTACTGGAGAGACCATCCTAAGCAAGCAGGGCAAGCTCTGCACAGCGCAGAAACAAGCGAGGTCTGGAGTTACCACCTCGAGAAAGTTATTGCCCTTTAACAGAGCATAAAGAGTGGGAAGAAGTGAATAAGCTTTTACCTCCTTTAACAGTTTCTTCCATTGAAATGGTAGTTCACTTTTTTCCTTTTCTGTCATTATCTAAAACTTTCCAATCAAAATTTAGTATTATCTAATTTTTACATTAACTTTATTTTTTTGGAACATAGGGAAAATGTATTAATCATGAAGATCTAACTTATCCTTTTTCTTCTCAGAAGAGTCTCCAAGTTCTAAATCTTACATTATTTCTAACATAATTCTTTCACATTCTCCCATGATATCCTGAAATCGTCATCCTTTCTCTCAGATGATAAAGTGTTGCTTCTACTTTGAAAACAAAGTAAAAAAAGTCCAATGTCATGTTTTTAGCTTTAAAGAAGGAATTAGTTTAACATCATGTGGTAAAGCATTTTCAAACAATATTAAGTTCAAAATTATGAAATCAATTTGTTTCTTATGTATACCAACAAATCAATTCCTAAAATTTCTGAGTAACAAGTATCTTCTGATGTTTAGAAGTCTCTCTATCACAGCAAATAAAGCACTGACATCCAACCTGGCTTTTTTTGGACAAACTACTTAACATCCTATTTGCCTTTGATTCACTTTTTTTAAATTGACTATTTTAATATGTGTATAAAGAAATTACAGAATAGAGAATATCTGGAAAGTCTACTTTGCAAACTTCACACAACTATATCAAAAAGACAAATATAAAGTTCTAGGCGCTTTCATGTGCTCCAACTCTTAACTGTTTAATCATAGTCCAGCCATCTATTTTATTCATCTTTTCCATATTCCAAACTGCTTTGGGTAAACCGTTATAAGCTAGTGTCTTTCAAGATCTAGAATCAACTTGCAACATTTTCACTGGGTATGCTTCCCACACAGCTCTGATTTCGTTTCATTAGCGACTGTCTCATGACATACTGCTGAATAAGCTGAACAAGTAATACACAGTGTCCTTTCATTTCATTCTGTAGCTATCAACCTGTAACCTAACACTGTAAGATAATTCTTTCACTATTTTATCATTCCAAGAAATTAACGTTTTCACAGATGCCCTCTTTATTTGCTCCAAGAAATTCTGTCCTACCAATGTGTTTTGAATAACCACATAATGTGCCAACATGTTTCTCATTAAAAATTACGTTTGCTTTAAAATCCAGTAATGTCAAATTCACTTCATTTCTTTCATGCTTTGTAATTTTTTTCCATTGTTTTTTCCCACTTGTAAACTCCTTGTGATTTTTCTTCGCAGCCAAACTCTTGCTAGCCATGTCATGTCAAATGCCAGCCATCAAAACTCTGTATCATAATTCTTTACTTTTTTTCTGATTGTCCCTGGTCTTGTGAACTCTGCAGGTAATGTTTATAAAACATTATCTCTACATTATCCTGGGCTTCGCTGTGGCTCAGCTGGCAAAGAATCCGCCTGCAATGTGGGAGCCCTGGGTTGGGAAGATCCCCTGGAGACAGGGACGGGTACCCACTCCAGTATTCTGGCCTGGAAACGTCCATGGACTCTATAGTCCATAGGATCACAAAGAGTCGGACACGGCTGAGAGACTTTCACTTTCACTGCATTATCCTGGTGACATAAACAGCCATCTGGTTATTGATGATGATGACATTGAAGGACAATATTTGGTTTTCCACAGTTGTTTCAACACCATTTTCTAACTTATCTGGTGAATTCTTGGAAACTTTTCTGCTTTTATATTAATTTCAAAGAAAGTTTCCACAAAAAAACTTCAACTGACCATGCCCATAACACTGAATAGCTTAAGAATAAGAAATACTACACGGCGAGCAACGCAAAGCTAGGAAAGCATCAAAATAAGACAAAAAGTCTCTGCAGTGGGTTGGCAGGACACTAGCCCAACTGCTGAGTTAAACCAAAGGCTTCACTGCTTTGTAACAAATTCTTAACAGTTACAAAGCAACTGAACCATAATTAGATCTTACAGCTTTAAACAGCAGATTACATGCTTGACAGTCCTATTTCATCCCTGGGTCATAAGCTTTTCTCCCTAAGGAAGCTGGGGATAAAGAGAAGGAATGTGCTCCCTGTGTCTCTTTCCCACCATCTCCATTTGTGTATTGAGAGAAGTTAAGCCATAAGATTTTTACTAATTTATTTACTCCTAAATTGGTGGTTGTTCTGGCATTTCAAATATAGAGATGCTTGCCTTTGGAACATTGCCTTTTAAAGATACAATAAGGCCTCTCCTTTACCTGACATTCTCCAGAAGAGTGGAAGCCAAATTTCCTTAAACTTGGATCTTGTTAAGTAAGAAACTGTAAGGGTCTGAGATTTTAACCTATTTGCAACCCAAGTTAGCTCTTCCTGCAAGACAAATCTCAGACACAGATTTTCTATCAGAGCTTTCCACCTTCTAGCCTCAATTATTTTCCTGTTCTTTTCTCCCTCTCCACACCATTTTTAAAGTATTTTTTTCCAATGGATTATCTGTAATCATGCATGTGTTTTCTAGTATATTTTGTCTCTTCCACTAAACCTAAATTTGAAGCAAGCAGGAACCATATGTTTCATTCATACGATAACATCTATTTTATTTATACCGTATCTATTTCATATCATACCAAGTCTAGCGCTGTGGTCTAGTCGCTCAGTCCTGTCCGACTCTCTGTGACCCCATGGACTGTAGCCCACCAGGCTCCTCTGTCCATGGATTTCCCAGGCAAGAACACTGGAGTGGGTTGCCATTTCCTTCTCCAGTCTATTTCTATATCCAGCACCTATTATAAAACTGTCACACAGAAATCACTTAATAAACATTTGTTAAATGAAATTTAAAGTGTTTAAATGTAATTTAAACCTACACACTGCTTCCTACACTCACCAGCCTACATCTTGAAACCTTTCCACGTCACTTGTCCACATGACCCAGGTGGGTCCTCATCTCGAACATCTTTCCCAACTATGGGAATTCCCTGGTGATCCAGTGGCTAAGACTCTGGGCTCCCAATGCAAGGGGCCTGATCAATCCCTGGTCAGGGAACTAGATCCCACAGCCACAACCAAGACCCGGCACAGCCAAATAAGTAAATTTTTTTTTTAAAAAAGGCTAAAAAAATCTTTTCAAGTAATTTCCTACCAGCTTTTAATTCTCACAGCTCTATTTTCCCAGTAAGAAACTGAAGAGACGATGCCGTGTACCCGAAGCGCGCCTCCTCCGGTCGGCCTCCCCTTCCTGTCTTGTGCCCCGCCTTCTCTGGCCCGCAGCCTGCGGCTGCTCCCCTCCGTCCTGAATGGGCTCTCGCCCCCGGTTTTGTAGACACAGTGTCCAGAACCTCCCTTTGCACAGATGTCCCGCTTTCCTCTACTGGCGGTGAGAAAGTCACCTGATGTTTATTAGACTTAAAATATTCCAGCCTATGAATATAATGTGGGAGATGAAAACGGACAGCTAAAAAACTGCTGGGCTTATGGGCAGCACTGAAGACTTAAAATGTGAACTTTAAAAAAAGAAAAAGAAATAGAGAAACTGAAGCTTAGGAGAAGAGGAGAAGCTAAGGAATATATGGAAAGTAATAATCCCAACAAGTCTGGGACTAAAATTAGGTCTGTATCACTCCAAATGCACTATTCTCAACCCTGTCTTACATTTCAGCCTTGCCAAAACAACTTTCACCCACTGTTACTGATCCAAAGCCCCCAGGGCTGCCCATATTAACAGCATGATATTGAGCAACCTCAGACACCATGCAGGTAAAACTGCGGTAATTATCGTACTTACCTGAAGAAGGTATAAAGACCAAACGAGGCGACTAATGAAAAGCACTTAGTACAGTGTCACTTAACATAGAAAAGACTAAAGAAATGTTAACTATTATGATCGCTTTACTCCTCTGTAACAGATGTCAGCACGTTTTCTGTAAGAACCAAATGGTAAACTATGTGAGCCACGCAATCTGTGTTCCAACAAAAACAAGCAGCAAACAGGATTAACCAGTGGGCCACAGTTAGCCAACTCCACCTGCTTTACGGTGGAGTTTTTCAACTGTGGCACCGCTGGTATTTGGGGCTGGAGACGTCTTTGTTACGGATCGCTGTCCCGGAGGACGCAGCATCGCAGGATGTTTATCAGCACCCTTGACCTCCACCTCCTTGATATAAGTAGCATCCCCCAGGTTGGGTCAACCAAAATAATACCTCCTGGGGAGCAAAAATGACCTGAGCCGGGAAAGCTTGCTCTAGAGCCATCAAACATATGAGGATACAGCTTGGATTTTCTAATAAAGAACGTAACTGAGTAAAAAAGTAATAATTTAACACACTATAAAGTATTTATACTCACTTAGCTAAAATGCCCACACTTAGCAATAACTTTATCACTTCTGTGATACACACGGCTGTGGTTGAAAAGTAGAGCTCTTTATCTGACGTCCTTGTGTATCTTAAAGCTACGGTGTAAGCTGCGGCCACCAGGGTCATCACTGCCAAGCAGTATAACTTGAATAATAAATTGACATTTTCTGGAAAATATGTGCAAAGATATTATTTAATAGACAACATTATGTATATAAAAGCTAATCAGTGTTATACTTCAAGATGCTTTCCAATTTCGAGCACAAAATACATTTACTTTTTTTTTTCCCCCCCCAAAACAATGCTCTCAACCACATGAAAAGACACACACACAGGCACGCAATACACAGTGGACTGTCAGTACCAACCGGCCAGGCACAGGGCTTGTTCCCGGGGGGGGGCTCAACTGCAGGATTGTCTGGCTTAACTAACTGCAGTTTAGGATGCTATAAATTACACGCTTTATATACCTTTATAACTCACACTTGTGAAAGCAACACATGATGGCAGGATAAAAACAATAACGTGTATGCCAAACAGAAAGACAGCAGGAAGAAAACAGAAGGAATAAGGGAATGATAATACGGAATTTTATAATATAAATTACATTCAGCCTCTCATTTTACGGCATTATATGAAAGATAACTCATGACACACACATACACACACACACACGAGTATGAAGAATGAAGTTCTGTAAAGCCTGACATCCAGGAAATATACACAACTGATGAACACTCAATTTAAGAACTTATTTTAAGTGTATCTGAGCATCAGCCATCCCTCAAGCACCAAGGCAGGTCCCCCAACTTCAAGAAAACCATAGGCACTGAGTAGCGAGGTCTCCCTCAGTACTCCTAGCCCTGTTCTGAGACAGCCATCACCTAATACTCAAACTGTTTCTGTTTTACCCACTTCATACTTCCCTCATCCCCAGCTTTATTCAACCTTCTTTCAAAAATCTTCAGGCACATGTTAAACAGGGATCAGCAAGTTTTTTTCTATAAGGGCCAACAGTAAATATTTTAGGTTTTTTAGGCCAGGAGGCAAAATTAAGGATATCATGTAGGTACTTAGGTGACAAGAGAGAAAACATATTTTCACATTTAATTTATATTTAATTGGAAAAATTCAAAATATAATAATAGTTGAGTACAATGCTTTATTGTATTGAGAAGACAGGAATTCTGGGGGTGGAGGTGGAGGCAGGTAACATTTTGCTTCACTGGTCTTCAAAGCTGCTGTTCCATCAGATCAGCCGCAAACATTCATCTGTAAAAACCATTCTTAGCTCACAAGTCATACAAAAACAAGTCATAGGCTGGGTTTGACCAATGGGCCACACTTTGACAACCCGGGTTAAGAACCAGAGGGAAGAGGTTGCTCTGGGCTGCTACTATAACTAAAGCATGCTTCTTAACCACTTTGGAAGCCTAACCACAGTTCAAAGGTGACTTGCACAGGAAAATAAGTTTCAAACAAATCATCTTTATATGGTAAGGTGGAAACTTACTAGGAAAACAGGTTCTTCAATATAAATATTTTTCCCTGGGTGAATTAAAGAATTGTTTGGAAAATTCAGGCAGATGTTTAAAAGTATATTAGGTTTTAACTAAAAAGTTGGATGGCAGAACAGAAAAAAATAGAGCTTATCTCTGCCTAAAGTTTCAATCGATCTTGAGGACCCAAAAAGCAATGTTAATGTAAAAGAGATCGAAGGGGATCACTGTGATACTTCACTTGCCCTAAAACTCTCCTACACGAGGAGGAAATGTAAGACAAAAAATAAACAGCGGCACAGGAGAAACCATTTCCCACCTTCTTGATCAGGGGTGAACAAAGTGCATTTCCTCTCCTTTTCCTCTGATCTGAAACCTGAGAATAAGTTTATATTTTTTAATGGTTGGTAAAAAGTTTTTAAATAACCTTTTGTGATATATGAAAACTATATGAAATTCAAATTACAGTGTCACAAAAAAAGTTTTATTAGAACATACTTATGTTGTTTCCAAATTATTTATGGCTTTTTTTTTTTTTTGCCCTGCAACAGCAGAGTGAGTAGTTATGACAGAGACCATCAGCCATTAACAGAAAAAGTTTACCAACCCACATGTCCTAAATTATCAATACTTTCATGAATGAGAGAGGTTAGGACTGCTAAACTAAAAGCTATGTCAGCAATTATATAGGTTCCTGATTCCAAAACAACAAAATGAATGGATAAAATTTAGAAAATACACCTATTAGCATAGTGATTAAACGGGAATATATATGATATTCCTGAAAATAACTGATTAAATAAAAGAGCAAGCAAATAAGTTTAGACATCTGTATAATGAAAGTGCAATTATTAGCAATTTCAGTTTGTTTCAAGGTAATATCACAAGTCCATACAAGGACTTCCCTGGCGGTCCAATGGTTAAAGCTCCTGAGCTTCACTGCAGGGGGCAGAGATTCAATAGTTAGTCAGTCAGTCCAGGACTAAGATCCATGCGGTGGCATAAAGTCCACAGCTCAACTGCATTGTTGAGTGGACACAGTGGCACATCGGCACTGTGTTCTCCTCGCAAAGCTCCCATTAGCTCCCACACAACCTCTATTTCTATGTGTAGAATCCCACCACCCCGCCCCGCAAAAGAAATTTACAATCTGGAGTTGTATATTTTTCTCAGTTATAGTTTACTATATTTTAGAGTGAACATTATTTGTAACACCTGAGAAGGTGGAAATTAAGAAGTCCCAGAAATAAATAAATTCTTTGTGAATATCAGGAAGTTCGGGATTCCAGTTTTGTATTACACAATTCTAGCGGACATGTAAGATTTGTCACACGACCCAGGCACAACAAATATGTATTGGCAATAAGCCTAAATCTGTAAACTGAGCAACTATTTCAGATGATTTGACTTAGGTAATTCTGTAATTGCCTTCACCATTCATCTTGCTAATTTCATTTTATGTCAATTATCAAAATAATTCTACTTTTTCCCTTTATTTCGGGTGTTGCTATAAAAGACTCTTAAAGGTGGGCTCATCTCAAATGCGAGAAGCATATGCAATTGCAGACAACGCCCCTGAGCATGGCTTGAAAGATAAACGTGGCCTCCCCAACCAGGAAAATAATCCGCCACCCACGCAAAAAGCTATTGTTCAAATATTTGTTCCACGTATATTCAGGCGTGAAGCCAAGAGCTCTATGGAGGAAATGTATGGAGGAAATGTGGAGAAAAATCCGGGTGTTGCCCAATCGCTCGTAGCTTCACCATTCAGAAACTCAACTCCGGTTTTAACTTACCCCATTCAGCAAAGCAAACGAGCTGCAGTTAATGATACTTAGAGTCAGGCAAAGGCAATTAGTCATCAAACATTATTACTCTAATGAGCTATCCCTGAGGAAGGGGCAAGGGCAGGGGCGGAGGATGGATATCACCCTCCCCGCAAAAACAAAAAAGTGTTCCTTCTAACCACATAACATCCTCAAGAGTAACTGTTAACCACAGCTTTCTCCGTCTCGTCACACTTGCAAGGCTGTTCTCCTGCCCCAAGGATGTCTTCAGTGTCTGTTAGTCTGTTAGGCTGCTTAGGTTCTGCACCCAGAGCGTGCCCTGAAGGCCCCGAGCATCCTAGTGTAGGAGGCACCGCGGAGACCGCAGCCGCGGTGACCCCGGCCCGGACTGAGACCCGTTCTGCCTCCCGCCGGGTGAAGCGGCTCCAGCCCGGGCCCGGCGTCCCGACCCCCCGCCTGGTCGGCTACAGCCCAGGCCTGTCTGAATTCTGTCCCCACCCACTCGTCCAGGCAGGCGCGGTCTCCGGCCGCCGAACCGGCTGGCGCTGAGTCCGCCCCCCGGGAAGGCAGCCGCAGTGGGAGGCTGACTGGCCCGCGCTGCCCTGACCGGGGGCAGCGCGCGCTCAAGCCCGGGAGCCGCTCAACACAAACCCCTGCTCCCCGACGCGCGGGCCTACCAGCCGGAGACCCGAGCCCCGCGGGCGCGGAGGATGCTCGCCCGCAGACAGACGCAGACAAGCGCTGAGGCTCGCTCTGCAGCGCGCCCCCGGCCCGGCCTCCCCAGTCCCGCCGGCCACGGCCTCACCTCTTGGGGCGGCCATGGCTCCCCGGCCGCGCTGCGCGGAACTGACCCGCAAGCCCTCCGCGCGCGCCGAGGGCGCCCGGGACCGCCTCCCGGGGTCATAGAGACGAAGCCGCGCGGCCTAGAGCGCCTCGCCGCCGGCCGGCCGCGACCTCCCGCCCAGCCAAGCACCCGGACTAGGTTCGCGAATCCGACCGCCGCAGAGAAGGTGCGGACCCGGAAGGAGAGGAGACCGGGGCCGCCCAGTTTCCGTGGACAAGCGCGTAGAACTAGGTTCGCGGCGATCTTCTGTAAACTACAACTCCCGGCGGGCTAAGGGGGCTGCGTCGCGAGAGCCGAGCGTCGCCTTCTGGGAGCTGTAGTCCTCACCAGGAGACTTGGCGGCGAACAGGAATTGGGCTTCGATTTAGGGATTCTGGCAAAGCTGTTGTAGATCCCCCCAAAAGCCGGAAAGTAACAGAAGCTAGGCAACTTCTGTAATTTGCATTAACTTCCTCACTCATTAACTTCTGTTGTTACCTCTCATTTAAACTTATAGTTTATATATTGTTCAGTCTTGTGGCTGTATCCTCATCGTCGGCATCACATCTGACAGCATTTACCTTACCAGGCATTCTAACTGCACAGTCTTCGCTTCAAAACGTTAGGCGTAACAACAGGCACTAACTTCAACCGCTATAATCTCCACGTTCACTGAAGCATGGTAACTGGCATAATTGATATCAGAAATAGTTCACTGTCAAATGGTTTTCAAGATATGTGGATTGGTTAAAAATACTGTTGTATATAAGTACCTCCATTCTTACAGGAACATGGGTACAACATTCTGAGATGCCCAGTAGCCTACACCTTCTGTAGCATGATTTTTTCCCCCAAGTGACTTTCTGACTTAATTGAAGAAAGTAGGGAAAACCACTAGACCATTCAGGTATGACCTAAATCAAATCCCTTATGATTATACAGTGGAAGTGACAAATAAGATTCAATGGATTGGATCTGATAGATAGAGTGCCTGAGAACTATGGATGGAGGTTCGTCACATTGTACAGGAGGCAGTGATCAAGACCATTTCCAAGAAAAAGAAATGCAAAAAGGGAAAATGGTTGTCTGAGGAGACCTTACAAATAGCTGTGAAAAGAGGAGTAGTGAAAGGCAAAGGAGAAAAAGAAAGATATACCTATTTGAATGCAGAGCTTCAAAGACCAGCAAGGAAAGAGAAGAAACATTCCTCGGTGATCAATGCAAAGAAAGAGGAAAACAATAGAATGGGAAAGACTAGAGATCTCTTCAAGAAAATTAGAGATACCAAGGGAGCATTTCACACAAAGATGGGCATGATAAAGGATAGAAATGGTATGGACCTAACAGAAGCAGAAGATATTGAGAAGAGATGGCAAGAATACACAGAAGACCCATACAAAAAAGATCTGCATGACTCAGATAACCACGATGGTGTGATCACTCACCTAGAGCCAGACACCCTGGCATGTGAAGTCAAGTGGGCCTTAGGAAGCATCACTATGAACAAAGCTAGTGGATGTGATGGAATTCCAGTTGAGCTATTTCAAATCCTAAAAGCTGATGCTGTGAAAGTGCTGCACTCAATGTGCCAGCAAATTTGGAAAACTCAGCAGTGGCCACAGGACTGGGAAACGTCAGTTTTCATTCCAACTTCAAAGAAAGGCATTGCCAAAGAATGCTCAAACTACCACACAATTGCACTCATCTCACACACTAGCAAATTGATGCTCAAAATTTTCCAAGCCATGCTTCAACAGTACATAAATCGTGAATGTCCAGATGTTCAAGCTGGTTTTAGAAAAGGCAGAGGAACCAGAGATAAAATTGCCAACATCCGCTGGATCATTGAAAAAGCAAGAGAGTTCCGGAAAAACATCTATTTTTGCTTTATTGACTACACCAAAGCCTTTGAGTGTGTGGATCACAACAAACTGGAAAATTCTTAAAGAGATGGGAATACCAAACCACCTGACCTGCCTCCTGAGAAATCTGTATGCAGGTCAAGAAGCAACAGTTAGAACTGGACATGAAAAAACAGACTGGTTCCAAATCGGGAAAGGAGTATGTCAAGGCTGTATATTGTCACCCTGCTTATTTAACTTATATGCAGAGTATATCATGAGAAATGCTGGACTGGATGAAGCACATGCTGGAATCAAGATTGCCGGAGGAAATATCAATAACCTCAGATATGCAGATGACACCACCCTTATGGCAGAAAACAAGGAAGAACTAAAGAGTCTCCTGATGAAAGTGAAAGAGGAGAGTGAAAAAGTTGGCTTAAAACAACATTCAGAAAACTAAGATCATGGCATCTGATCCCATCACTTCATGGCAAGTAGATGGGGAGACAGTGGAAACAGTGACAGCCTTTTTTTTTTTTTTTGCTCCAAAATCACTGAAGAAGGTGACTGCAGCCAGGAAATTAAAAGACACTTGCCAAAACCACAATGAGGTACCATTACACACCAGTCAGGATGGCTGCTATCCAAAAGTCTACAAGCAATAAATGCTGGAGAGGGTGTGGAGAAAAGGGAACCCTCTTACACTGTTGGTGAGAATGCAAATTAGTACAGCCGCTATGGAAAACAGTGTGGAGATTTCTTAAAAAGCTGGAAATAGAACTGCCATATGACCCAGCAATCCCACTTCTGGGCATACACACCAAGGAAACCAGATCTGAAAGAGACACGTGCACCCCAATGTTCACCGCAGCACTGTTTATAATAGCCAGGACATGGAAGCAACCTAGATGCCCATCAGCAGACCAATGGATGAGGAAGCTGTGGTACATATACACCATGGAATATTACTCAGCCACTAAAAAGAATTCATTTGAATCAGTTCTAATGAGATGGATGAAACTGGAGCCCATTATACAGAGCGAAGTAAGCCAGAAAGATAAAGACCATTACAGTATACTAACACATATATATGGAATTTAGAAAGATGGTAACGATAACCCTATGTGCAAAACAGAAAAAGAGACTCAGATGTACAGAACAGACTTGTGGACTCTGGGAGAAGGCGAGGGTGGGATGTTTCAAGAGAACAGCATCGAAACATGTATATTATCTAGGGTGAAACAGATCACCAGCCCAGGTTGGGTGCATGAGACAAGTGCTCCGGCCTGGTGCACTGGGAAGACCCAGAGGGATCGGGTGGAGAGGGAGGTGGGAGGGGGGACCGGGATGGGGAATACATGTAAATCCATGGCTAATTCATTTCCATGTATGACAAAAACCACTGCAATGATGTAAAGTAATTAGCCTCCAACTAATAAAAATAAATGAAAAAAAAATAATAATAAGACACTTGCTCCTTCAAAGAAAAGTTATGACCAACCTAGACAGCATATTAAAAAGCAGAGACATTACTATGCCAACAAAGGTCCGTCTAGTCAAAGCTATGGTTTTTTCCAGTAGGCATATATAGATATTTCTCTATAAAGAAATAAAGACTATAAAGAAAGCTAAACACCGAAGAATTGATGCTTTTGAACTGTGGTGTTGGAGAAGACTCTTGAGGGTCCCTTGGACAACAAGGAGATCCAACCAGTCCATCCTAAAAGAAATCAGTCCTGAATGTTCGTTGGAAGGACTGATGCTGAAGCTGAAACACCAATACTTTGGCCACCTGATGTGAAGAACTAACTCATTTGAAAAGACCCTGATGCTGGGAAGGATTGAAGACAAGAGGAAAAGGGGAAAACAGAGGATCAGGTGGTTGGGTGGCATCACCGACTCAAAGGACATGAGTTTGAGTAAACTCCGGGAGTTGGTGATGGACAGGGAGGCCTGGGTGCTGCAGTCCATGGGGTCGCAAAGGGTTGGACACGACTGAGCAACTAAGTGACTAAGATCATTATTTATATATATATTAATGTATATTAATATATATATATTATATATATAATATTATTGCAAAAATTTTCATTCCTTATTAGCATCACATTAATGGGGGAGTGGGCTTCCCAGATAGCTCAGTGTAAAGAAGGCAGGTTCTACCCCTAGGTGGGGAAGATCCCCTGGAGAAGGAAATGGCAACCCACTCCAGTATTCTTGCCTGGGAAACCCCACTGACAGAGGAGCCTGGCGGGCTACAGTCCATGGGGTATCGAAAGAGCAGGACTTAGCAAATAAACATGACTCAGCAACTAAACAACAATATCAGAAAGAACTCACAGAAGGAGACCAGAGTTTATATAGTGAGACCTTTGATTAATCTCAGTTCAGAGCCATGTTGAATCGCCCCCTGCCTGGTTCTATGTGTGCTGACTGGTGCTAATCACCTCTTCCGATAATTGGCACAGTTCTCACGTATGCAGTTATTCAGTTCCCTGCTGTATGTGCTTATACATACCCATATACACTTAAAAACTCATATCTGTACTTGAAATTAATTGTAAAAATTAAAAATATTCTATCATAAATTTATTTTGTTCTATATTGTTTTATATGGTTTATTTATCTCCTATTTTGGAGTATCATTATAGTCTCGACTTACTTTTTAACTATAATTATTCTTTGGACGCTCAAATTGCCCCATATGGACCCTATAAGTCCACTCCTTTCTTTAAATCTGCAGCAACTTTTTGAAACATTTTTGATTTCAGGTTCCAGGTTCCAGGCCAATCTTGATTTTTCCCTCTTCTAAGCCATGGGATCAACTACACTTCAAGAAACTATGGTTCCTTCTGGGGGGAGAAGAGTGTTACACACATACACACTGATCATAATTGGGGTGGTGGGTCAAATGCTTTAGAGCTAGTTTTGTGGCATTTCTGGTTCACATAATGTAAATTTTCCTTCTTAAAATTTTCATTGCCTACAAAGACTTTCTGCTCTATTACCATGAGCCTTGACTAGATTCTGATGCCTTTTGTCCTAACTCATCCGCCCAAAACCCACCGGGGACAAACCTGTAGTCAGATAGCATCAGGATGACTGGTCCATTCCAGTGAAGGAGACTGCACATCAGAATAACTGTGGGAGGTCT